CACGTGTCAAGCGTCCATTGGCCGAGAGGTCACCTCATCCGGTTGGCGCTGGCAACCGCATATGGCCGCATTTAATGCGGTTGTTGGATGGGACGTTTGTACAGGGCACGGTGATCTGTACGCATGTGGCGTGGATATCATGTCGGGCAGGGTGCCCTCGGCTGTAGAGGACTAGCCGAGGGCTCCGAGTACTGGGGACCCCCTTGGTGCTGAGGGCTCCAGGTGCCGAGGGCTACTGATTTTTGCCGTTTTCCCAGTAACTTCGTTTTGCTGTCCTGGCCCTCCTGTGAGAGTTAGAGCCTTCGGCCAGGGGGCCGAAGGCACCCCTGGTGCGCATTGTGGGCTGCTTGGTACTCTGGACGCCGTGATTTGGGTCTGTTGGGCCTTCTGGGCCTGTTGGGCCTTTACTGGAGTAATAGGAGTCTGTGGGCCGAGGGTTCCCGGGCCATATACTCCATCAATTGTATAGTTTTTTTTATTCATTATAGTTTTTACTTTTTAGAACATCATTGTAATGGAAAAAAATCTATATTAGTTTTCACTATTTATATATTTGAAATTTTTATTTAAAAATTTACGCATGTAATTTCTAGGTTTCATTATAATTTTCAATTTTTTTTTATTTCCTATAATTTTTTATATTTTTATTACCTTTAAAAAAATTTAATTATATTTGTTAAAAAAATTAACAAACTTTTACTTGTCTGAAGTATCATTTTTGCAATTTAAAATTTACTTTGTCGGTGGATAAGTTTGCATTAAGATTGCTTTATAAAAGCATCATACATCACTTTTAGCTTTTTGGAATAGCGCCGTACATAATTGCACCATACGACTTTAGCTTGCACCGGGCGTTTCAATTGCATGAGTCTGTTAGTGAAAGAAGAAACTTACGGAACCTATTTTTGAAAAGGACATTCATAAATGAAAAAAAGTGATACTACGTATTATTTATGCTTTTTGGTCTATTTGTGTAGAAATCCCGACAAAATTTTCAATTTAGAACACCTTTTACTCCTAATTTGGTTCGCATTACGAATGATCTTAGGTTCTGAATTTTGACATGTTCCTTTATACTACGTATATTACATTAATTAAATACTATATAACACGGATTTGGTGTTTACAATATTTAAATTTAAGATTTCTTCATTTATTTTAACAATAATGTTATATCCATACACTATTCACGTGTAATATGCCATTGCTTAATCCAAACATAGACCATTTTTATCAATGCACGTATAAATTTCTTGTATTCTTTTTTGATCGACTTCATTAACACTAAACATATATGGAGTATCATTTCACTACAAATAAATTACGGGATTGACACAGATTCGGCACAAATTTACTGATAATTTCGTGCCAAATAGCTCATGTAAAACTATTTTTTGCACGGATTTAGCATATCCCTGTCAAAATTTTTGCCAATTTTGAAAAAACTCTATAAAAAATTCCTGTCAACAAGATATTACAAAGTGTATAAGGTTTATACATTAATCACATGTATTGTCAATAATTATAATACAAATTGACAAATTGTATAGTGTGATATATGCCTTGAGTTTCACTTTACACAAATATAAATTATCTCTATCAACCGACCAATAGTAATTATACTTTAAAGCACACAGTTTTCAAAGGCAATTTATATCCTGGAATCGGCGCAGCATGAGGATGGTGCACCCGATCCCAAAACGACGCAACATCCATTATTTTTTATTTTTTTATTGTTAAAAATTGTAATAACTTTTTTATTTGATTTCCGATTTTTATAAATTTTATATCAAATTTTTTTATTTTTCATGATCTATCAAATGAGACCAATATTGCTTATGTAATTTTAACAAATTATTTTGAAGTTACATTTGATAATATATCATTAAGTTACATCTTCTTCTGCGCGAGTTACATCTTATTGTACGCGAGTTACATCTTAATATACGCGAGTTACATCTTAATGTATGTGAGTTACACCACGAAATAAACCCCTGCTACATCTTTCATTTTTATCATTTGAAAAATAGTGTATGAATATGAAATACAATATACTTATTTTATGTGGATTAATAAAATTTTGTATTAAATTGGCAAAGAGAAAAATTAATTCAGTTAAAATTGAATTAGTTCAAGATAAAGATAAGTAAAAAATTACAAATAATTAGATATAACTCACACAAAATTACATGTAACTCGCGCATAAAAGTATGTAACTCGTGTATAACAAGATGTAACTCACACATAATAAGATGTAACTCACACATAATTACATGTAACTCGCGCATAAAAGTATGTAACTCGTGTATAGCAAGATGTAACTCACACATAACAAGATGTAACTCACACATAATAACTTGTAACTAGAGTATAAGATGATGTAACTTCGTACATTATCAAATGTAACTCCAAGCTAGAAGCAAAATAAACAAATTCAATATCTTAAAAACCTCTAAAAACATATAAAAGTGAAAAAAAATATATTATAGAAAAAGTGTATGCATATAAAAATATATTACAAAAAAATGTATGAATGTAAAAAATTAAAATTACATAGGCAATATTGGTCTCGTTTGAAAGATCATGAAAAATAAAAAAAAATTGATATAAATTTTATAAAAATCAGATCAAAAATAAAAAAATTATTAACAATTTTAAGAAAAGAAGAAATAAAAAATAACAAAGGATGCATGGTGCCACAGGTTCCACGGTATAAGCACGTTTTCAAACGTATTCACACTATATGAGAAGAAATAATTGTACACCAACATTTTAAGTGGCCTATAGAAATTAAATAAATAAATTGTGCTAAATTGAAGTAAAATATAAATAAAATGCACAAATAAACTAACCATATTTTATTATCAAAGTATGACTTATTTAGCTATGCACTCCTACTGAAACAATAAAACTTCCCCTGTTACGACTTAATCGATCATATTTTAGAAATAAAGTAACGATGGTCCTATTTGAGAAATTTTGTGATCTTTTTACTCACCTTTAAACAATTTTCTCAAATAAATATTGCTAAGGACATCAAAGATATGATTAAAAAGGAGCAGCGAAAAACTAAAGGCAAGAGGAAGAAATTAAAAACAATCATTCTTGTTGTACCTATCCTTATAATCACTTTATACCCATCATGTCTGCGAAAGTATTTTTTTGTCTGTGAATCCGGTTCACAGAAAAAATATATCTTATTTTGTCTTTGCAAAATTTGCACCGACATATTTTATCCATGAACGGGATTCACAGAAAAAAAAACTTTGCACAAACATGATGGATATAAAAGTAGATATAAAAATAAGTACAGACAGCTTTTTTGAATTAAAAAAGAGGAAGAAAATATGCAAGGTGATGACTGATGAACCGATGATGTTGATTTATGGTGATTTTGAAATGACGGGTTAGAGAAATAATAGACAAAGAATCACGAGAAAACTCGGAAGAAAGAAATAAAGTTTTTACAAAATCTATCCAATCATCATGCTTGCTAGGCATTTAAGGAAAAGTAAAGAAAAAGTACATATTTCAAACCCCTTATTGCTCAAGGTGTGTAACACCTAACTCCGTTAAAAGCAGCACGCGAACAATGATGAACAATAACTCCAATTTCAAAAAGTACTCAGAAAATTAAAAAAAAATAGTTGAAGGTGCACCTCATCAATTTGATCGCCCAACCATCTTCTTTTCTGGATTTTGGACTCCTTTTCAATTGTTTTTTAACAAATAATTCACCAATATCACTTTTATAAATTTATAAATTGAGAACAAAAACTTAAAGCAATGTGTGTTCAAGTCATGCTTCAAGAGAACAATCACAATTTATAAATATTAAATCTAGAAAAAATCAAATCAAGTACTCTAAACTTTAAAGGAGTATGAGATGAACACCCCTAATTTACATATGTAATATAAATATCACAAACTATATATAAAAGTTATGTTACCACCATGATCATTTGATTTTCTTTCAAAAAAGTAAATTTATGGTATTAAATAGATAATCATCATCATTACCCCAGTGCCGCAAAGGCTCCCACCTACGGTGGGGTAAAGGTAGGGATGGACTGGACCGGGCCGAACCGGCCCGCTACTGTGCGGGCCTGGACCCGGTTGGCCGGTTCCGGGCTTTTAGCCCGTGAGGGTGGGTCGGGCGGGCCGGGCTCGAGCCCAGTTTTGGGCGAACCGGCCCGGGCGATTCGGGCCAGGCCCGGGTCAATTTTTTTTAATTTTTTTTCTTTTCCTAGGGTTGGGTTGGGTGTTTTGGGGAGGTTTGGGGGGTGGGGTGGGGGGGGTGTCGAGGGATAACAAGAAAGCAAAAAAAAATAAGTATTGAACCGGGCCCGGCTCGGCCCGACCCGGTTAGGCTCGGACCCAGTAGCAACCCGGGCCGGTTCCAGGCCCAAGGAATTGCAAAAAAAGCCCGCCCAGGCCCGGCCCGAAACCGGCCATAGGTAAAGAAGGTCGGGTGTACACAATCTTACTCCTGAACTAAAGCACAAAGACTATTTCTGAATGACCTATAATGAAAATTGCATCTAAAATTGCATGGACTGAGTGTTGCTTCATAACAAAAAAGCACTCAAGATTTAATGAGCCATTTTGCTTTATTCCATCAAATTCTCAAGCAAAAAATGAATATATAAAGTTACATATTAAATAAATAATATAAAAAAGTTATTATATAATAATGGAAACGTATTAAATAAATAATACTACGCCCGGCCGGTTCCGGCCCCACCCACCTAGTCGCAGCCCAAAGCAAAAAAAAGGCCCGGACCGGTCCCGGACCGGCCAGGCCGATCACCATTTTTCCTGTCCCGTAGCCCGCCCCCTATCCCCGGTTCGGGCCCCAGTACCGGTACCGCCCGGCGGGCCGGGTCGGTCCTGCACAGTGGCGGGCCAAGCTGGGCCCCGTCCCAGTCCATCCCTGCATGTATGCATCTAATTATTACAATTTTTGTACTATGAAGCAAAATAAATTAAGAAATTATGCACATAGATCCTAAACCAGCTCACATAGCTCATGGGAAGCTGGCATTTCTGTAGGGCACACTACTCTAAATTTTTGGGACCAATTCCCCCACAAAATAAGTTCAAAGATTACAAAAGACTTTGTGTTAATGGGGCAACGACGTAGTAAATACAAATATAAATTGTAGCATGGGACATCGAATTAGAGGCTCACTGCAAATTGAGAGGCTCCAAGGTCAAGTTGCTGTTTCATGATGCAGTTCATGAACCCCTCACTACTGAAACAGCGTATCCCTTTCTGTGCCGCTAACAGTGCTTCGTCTATATCCTCCTCACACGCCACAAATATAGTTCTATTCACATCTTTCACCTTGTCCAGCCCGCCTAAAATCTAAAGTTTTATATTGCAAAAATGTTAGAACAAAACATATGTCGGTTTTCAGTCTTCATACTACTTTAGGCAAATTCTGTATCTAAAGCCAGTATATAATGTTGAAGCACATCAACTAAACTTAAACTAATAAACCAACGTATAAGAATGCAGACTAGCTACTCATGTCATATTGTCTATTTATAATGGATTGCCAAGTTTTAATATGATATAAGAGTGCAGTATTAGCCCGACCTACATTGTTTGTTTGGGACTCATTGTATGATTAGCCCTTTGGTGTGGTCATATTCGGCATGAATCCACCCTATATCTGGTCTAACATCTCTTTTGTGCGTACGTTATAGAGTGGCTAGATGCTACAATGTTAAAGTAATGAAGCAAACTCCTACTCAGTCAAAATTTGGTCTTACTCTTGAATATACTCGTATATGTTCAAGTATCTGCCATGTCGTGCAAAGCTGGGTAATAAATTAGTTTAAATGAGAATGTCAAAAATTCAAAAAATAATTGAAGATATAACAAATTTCAATGAACAATGCTTTTTTTCCTTGTAAATATGTTTCTTATTAAAGTTTATGTAAACAGATTGTGTTCAACTTTAATCTAGTCTATCCCAGGATCATGTACTAGCTACATGATTGGATAAAAGATTAAGAGAAGTCTACATAAACATTGTTTTTGTACATTTACTGTGTACAAACTACAAAGTTATCTAACTTCTTATCATCCAATAAACACATGTCAACTAAGAATGCATACAATAAATGTAGAAAGCAAATGAACATTTAGAATTATTGATTGGATGCACTCATAAACCATAACCTTGTGTCCCTGGCCTCCATAAGACCACTACGAGGAAAACCAACCTACCTTGCCTAAAAGACAGGCTCAGACAAGACATAATGGGGTTCAAAGACAGAGAATTGGTTAGCATAATTACCCGTTTTAGTTCTATTGGGAAGACAAATTGAACAACAATTATGGTTTTATGGGAACTCACTAAGTTTTGAAAATTGACTTACATTTCCTCCTGCAGATTTTACAATTGAGGACAACATACTGGCTGGAGGTTGAACGTGAGCTGCTAGGCATATGTCATAACCATCAAGTAAACTGTGGGGGTGCACCCTAGTCCTAAAAACTGCCTCTTTAAGTTCGATCCCATACTTTACTTCATAGTCTTCATCCTTTAAAATGAAAGGCATTTCATCTGGAAAACATGGAAACCAATTTAAGTATCACATATACATACTTGAGGAGTATAATTATATATCAAACTTAGGTCTTATGCCCTACCAACAAATCTGCCATTCCGATAGCTTTCCTTTAACCAACTGGACGATACTATCCAGGACCTTTAAATTCCATTTCAAATTTAAGGTCAGAGATTATTATCAACAAGAAAAAAGTCCATGCAGAACAAAACAATAAGACTGTTTGTCAGTTTGTATTAACTTTTAGTTCAAATAATGACATAAGTGTATTTATCGCCATAATATAATAATGAGGCAATAGTTTGTAGGAGATACCAACCCTGAGCATAAAGCTTTGCAGAAATTCAGTGTTTTCCTCACTCTTCCAGTCACCACATGTGTACATATACTTCCATCAGATGTTACATCTCCACCAAGGCTTTCAATAATCTGCATAAGCACCATTAATTAATTAGTACTCATAATTCATAAATAAAGGCTCAAGAAAACAATAATAATAACAAAAATAATGCTAATAGTAGAAGGTATTGATTTAACATTTGAAACAAACAGCAATACTTCAGAGCAAGGGAGAAGAAGAGAATGGATAGATCAACTGCTAAATTAATATGTATGGAGGGAAAAGGGGTTGCATGCATTTAAATTCACATGGATTTCAATACACACTTATTATTCTTGTTATGTGCGCCCTAGCCCAATAAATAGGGAAGTTAAGGAGTACCTTAGTTAAAATCGTCTTCTTATTGTCATCAGCTATATTCATTAGTATAATTCTGAAGTCTTTTCCCAATGAAGGAATTCCTTCGCTGCTATACCTTTCGGAAGTCACACCAAGTGCTTTGTGTTCATAATAATACTTGGAGCTGCGTGTTAGAGGGTCTTTTGGGCAATTGTCCACTTCATCAGGCTCTGTTGGTGAATCACAGGTTTTATGCATACTGGTAATTTTGTTTCTTTCTAGAAGAAAGCTGTTAGAATCTAAGTGGCATTCAGTTTGATAGCCTCCCTTTACTTTTTTTGAGTTCAAAGAGGTGAATGAGGATTCCCATGTCCTTTTATTTGTTCCCGGTGCCACAAATGAATATTGCTTCAGACAAGGTTCAAGTTCAGATTCATTTGCTCCTTCACTATCACTGTCATTTACAGTCTCCATCATGTCTGGATCTTGACAAGTTAGATTCCAAATGAAACAAGTTAGTAGCATTGTTCATGCAGAGACATAATTCAAACAAGAATGCTCATTCATTTTAAAGAGAAAGGCATTGAATGAGTCATAGGAAGATAAAAACAGTTTTCATGACAGATTAAGGATTTAACATTTGTAATTATTTAGATCTTAACCCTTAACTGTCAGCCTTGTATGTTTGCATTTCCCCAATGCAATGGCTTAACATTTCCCGCAAGAATACAAGATAGTGGGTCTTTCTCTGCAGAAAAGGTTGGAACAGTGTATATGTTGATAATCAAGAGAACATTTATAAAATGTTTAAACCTTCCTAATATAGTCAATCCCCTTCTTTGCGGTGAGGATACATCTTTTAGCTATGTCTATGTTATGTAATACGTGAGTACTTGGCGAGTACTCACAACTCGGGGAAAGATATTGCCAACTAGTGCACTTGCGCGCTCCATTCACTTATTCCGAGTTAATCGCGGAGTACTTGACAATTTTTACGACTTGGGTGACTAGGTTTACTCGGATAGTAACTTGGTCAGCAATAATTGAACTTTTTTGGTTAAGTCTAAAAAGTTTAGACTAAAGTAGGATACTATGGGATTCAAAAAGAATAAGTGAATATTATAAAAAATAGAAGAGGATAAACTTGTGGATTAGACTTGTAGAGAATATAGATTGGGCATAGACTGCTTGATACTGATTTCAATAATGTACACGAGGATGCACTGGTGGAAAATATGATCAGTAAATATATATTCAAGGAAAACTGAAGAGCTGTCTGGTGATGTGGGGAATGAATAAGAAAATGATGGCGATGAACCAAACAAGGATTAGTTTAGGACAAAAGTTGAGAATTAAGAATTACTAGATGATGGATCTTCTTGGAAAGTTGGAATGTTTATTATCTATGCTACTTAATTGTTAGGATTATTATGTTGATATTTATACATGAGACGTATAAGGCTAATATTTTACTATATATATCTGCACTTTTATTAATGTAGGACTGAGTAATCACTGCGTAGAGATTTAACTACTTAGGACACTCCAAATTTTATATTTGTGTGCTCAAGGACCAAATCACAATATTAGGAGATGATACAAAAGTTAAGTGTGATCGAAGGGAATTAATTAGTCCTCGATAAGGATAATTACATACTACGTATATTTAAACTGTGTTCTGTGAATTTATAACCTCATGGTGTGTGCTTGCTCACATTTGGTTAATTGCACTCTCATTTATCTGGCACAATAAAATTAAGCTAAAGCAAAAGGTTATATATGTACATACCGTAATGCGGTGTCATGTCTGATCTGATATTATGATTTAGCGCTTCCTTGGAAGGGTGGTTCCCTTCGGGTACCCGATAGTCTTGTTTCTGAGTGATATAAGATGAATAGTTCTTCTCTGGTAGATTTATCACAGGACGCTCTGGTGGATTTATTGGACTTTCATTGTTAAGATAAGAAACCATGAGAGATGAGCCACCGGGAAAGCACAACATTCTGCGAATATTTGGCCTAATAGGAAGCCTTCGAGCTTTGCCTTTTGCATCTACCTGACCAATTACTATGAACCCCTGCCCATTTTGGCAATATGTTTAAAGTACTCTTGGAGCAAAATAATGCTAGGGAGTAAGACTAAGAAAGTAAGAAGTAAGAAAGAGAGCAAATCTGAAAGGAAAGAAAATCTGAGTGATAAAAGATATTTCAAGCTCAAAAAATCCATTTTAGATATTTGGTTGAGCTCGTGTTATTGTATATATTTCTATAATTCTATTATATAAAGACTAAAATATAAATAAATAATCAGCATTTCTTTTCCTTCGTATTTTCAAGGTAAAACCAGTTATTTATAAAGAAGGCCTTTCATAGCATTTTTTTCATTTTCCTTTTTCCATGCAGCGCCAAAACATAGTCATAATATCACAGAGAAAGAAAATTGATGAGAAATAGAACAACACTATAGTTCTAACGAAAACAAAGCTTTTGGGTTGTGAGTTTATGACTGTTTTACTTTTACTTTTTGGATAAACCACACAATCAGTGATGGAGCCAGAAATGTCAGATTAGGAAGGCCAGGGCTTAAAGAATTTATATGGGGGGGGGGGGGGGGGGCAAAGCTTAAGATTTCAGTGTGTGTTTTACTGCTTACAAATATTTACACATATTTATATACATCACAATTTTTTTCTTGGTGGGCGAGGCTCCTTGTGGCCCCTCCCTGTTTCCACCACAGCACACAACTGACACAAGCATACAAGAATAATAAACCACACAACCATATGAGGTTGAAGAATAATTGCTTCAGTCTCATATGGTCACCAATTAGAACATTACCTGTTTAAGCCAGAATCCTTCAGACTCCTTGTCTCCCCAACAAAGAACTGTCCTTATTCCTACATTCTGCAATCTCCTTCTCAGTTCCATGTATAATAAGTGGCCTATCCCCTGCAAGTAACCCATGGTCTAGTCAACTACTGCCAGAAGCAAAAGATGAGTCTATGGTGCTATTTCAATCATATGAAATAAAGTAGTAAATTAGTAATGTAGTTTATACTTTAATGGAGGAGACTGGAATGAAGACACAAAAATCATTATGAATTTTAGCTGACAAAATCAAACACGGGAAAAGAGGGTTCATAAAAAACTGAATTGGCTTGAACTAAAATGGACCTTTTGTTGATATTGAGATCTAACAGCTGCCAGAGGAATCTCAGCATACAGGGTGTCAGCAGATATTATCTGATACGTAGTTGCGGCAATGACCTGTCCATAAATGAGCAAACCAAAGAGCAGTTAAACCAAAAAATGATGCAAAAATACATCTAAAACAGTAGATTTAATGTTTTATTAGGTCAAATACTGAAATTCTTCCACCTATAAAGGAGTATGCATGCTAATGAAGTAACTATCATCCAATAAAGTGAACCCTTACGTGAAATACTGATATGTTAATGCACGCACACAGCAAACAAGCTTGTTTTTTCTGGAGTATTGTACTTCATGCGTTCATGTAGTGTTCCCCAAGACTTTAAGCACGTTTTTAGATGAACGGTTTCGAGAGGGGATTTGGAAAGCTAATTCTATATCTTAATATTTCATTAACATTTTGAAAATTTGAATGACTTAACATGTTATAGTTAAGTGGCTATAAACACTTGAATAACTTTGTCATCGTTTTCAGAAAAATTATAGTTATGAAGATATAGACTCAGCACTCTAAAACCTTACCTGGCAAGATATAGAAGGCAAGGCTTGTCCTCAAAATCCCTTCAAGACCCTCCATCCAAACAGACTCAAAGTGGACACAATTTTGAAATACTAGTGGATTTGAACAACAGCCAAACTATTAAACAAAGAAACAACTGCAAGCATACCTCTCCATGGTTTAGACTGTCCTTAAATTTCAAGACTAATGTATAGTACTTCCTGCAAGATCATCCATTGGCGAATCCTCAAAGGTTAGAATCTTGATAAAGGTGATCGCATCCAGGTCATAAATTTAATATTTTCTATATAAGCAACTATAAATCAAGTTAAAAAACTGTAACAGTAATAATTGTGTTATGATAGTGCTGAAATATGGAGTATAACAAAGAGAACAAACATACCCACTCGATACACATTTATCAAGGAACAATGAGTGTTTTCCTGTGTTTGCAGCATATTTCATTGCCGGAAGTTCCTTAGCATAAATGTTTAGCACTTCCTGCAACAATAGCTGTAATTAAGCTCTAGAAATGTTGGGGGGGGGGGGGGGGGGGTTGGGTTGGTAATTCTAGTGATTAAATTACACTTTTATCTCTCACAAAAATATAGATATACATTTTTCTCATGAGTCCTAACTGTGGAAAGTAATCCCAATCACTATATCAAATAGCCCTGTAAAGTAGATGGTTAGGACTTGGAAAAGATAAAGAAGATGATTACCTGAACTAAACTCCTGGTTATACAATCTCTCTCGTTTGGATTAACCAGTTGAAAAGAGTAATTTCCTAAACATAATATGCAAAAATTGTCAAACAGTCATGGTTCTTGATCGGGCGATCATATGATTCATATCACCTCCCTCAACATAATTGGCTTTGGGGTGAAGATGGTGAATACTATAATCATGCAACAAAGGTACTCCAGAAATTGAGAAAACATTAAACTAAATTATGAAAAAACACCTCACCATTTTCCTCGTCCCCATACTCCTGATGGCCACACTGCGTCACTTTTCCATTCCAGTTCTCCATGACTGTCGCAAGTAGTAACATGAAGTCATAAATAGATGCATAAAAAAATCTCGAACAAATTCCACTAGTACTAAGTTTCTAACATATACTCCGCAGTAAATAAATAATTCAAACTTCAGAAACTTAATAGGCTTTGTTGCCTGAAATTTTGAGATTGGCATCTTTAGCGAACGTGATTTGGAGGTTGTTTTCCGTCCACTCGGATTCAAAGCTCTTAGCTTCGACCTGCACCTGACAATTTCCTGCGAGAACAATAAACACTTCAGCGATGTGATTTCAAACAGGACTTTTCAACTGCACCTTTGATTCAGGTGGATGGAGATTTACCGATGGAGATCGGTGGCGGCGAAGGAATCAGAGAAACGGATTCCTTGTGTGCCATGTCAACAACGTTTCCGGTCGCTAGATTTGGTCGAAAGAGTAAAGTATAGAAAAGGTCATAGAAGTGCCAAATAAGTTCAAGCTATCTGTGAGCCATGGCGGGAAAATGGGATTTCAGAAATTTTATTATACTGATAAAAAGTTACCCGCCGGGATTGGAACTATGTTGGAGGACTTGAGATACGAGCAAGGCCGCGAGGTCCTCTTTTACGAGGGCCAAATGTACCCCTCCGCTCCTATTATAACTTTCAATTTTTTTCGTCCGTTCCAATTAAAATTTTCACTTTCCCTTTTTTATAAAGAATTTGTGGTTCACAATATTTCTTACACATTTTCTCTCTTATGTCCAACTCTCTACCACACAATACTCATTATCTTAAATTGTGTGTCAAATCTATTTGAAAGTTATAATAGGAACGGAGGTAGTAGTACTTTTACGGAATAGTAAATTTGGTAAATTTAGTTCCAAAGCACTTAGTCAAATCTTAAAATTTGGATCATGAGTTTGATTAGTATAATATTATGAAAGTTGTAAATTTTATACTTTTATGAAAGTAGTTTTGTCAAAGAATATTTTTATATCTTTTTTATATTATAAATAATTTTTTAATAAATATATTATCGATTCAAAGAAGTAATTATTTTTAAAGAAATATATAATTGGTGAAAGTTTAGAATTTGACCAAATACATTTATAGTCCTAATAGTCTTGATTTCAATAGATTTAATTGATTCAATCAATTTTAGGATCGCTAAATGGACTCTTATTTTCTAAATGATCGCACTTATTTTTTTACATAAAAACTAAAAGAAATGAATAACAAATCGTATGTGTCAAGCACTTTGTGATGTGATAGCAACACTGAGAGTCTGTTACTCTCCGAGATTGGTGTCAGACTTTCTAATCTCATCCAATTTTAAGGAGGTTGTCTATAGTAAATTATTTTCAAATCTATTTATGAGAAATGTATAACAAACGGATTAGACAAAGTACTCTATAACTCACTATTCTATATTGACAAACATTATTTCGTGAATTTCATAGTGTTAGGATGTTTTTACTTGGACTGTAATTTGTTGGTTAGGTCTGGTCTGCTCTGGTCTGATTTGGTCTGTTTTAGTTTGGTCTGGTCTGGTCTGGTTTGGCCTGGCCTGGTCTGGTCTGAAATTTTATTTTTTATATTTTTGCATAAATATTTTATTTTTTGTATATATTATAATCCATAAATAATTACTACGTATATTTTATTCATTTATAATTTAAAATAATAATATTTCTTCCAAATTATCGAAAATTGTTATCGTTTTAATTGGATTGATTTCAATCTCAAACCGAAGCAGATCATACAAATACAGAACAATAATAAAATAGTACAAGTATTAATAATAATAATAACAATAACAATACTACTACTACTAATAATAATAATAATAGTAATAGTAATAACAGTAATAGTAGTAAATAGTAATGGTACTAATAATAATAACAACAACAACAACAATAATAATAATAGTAAAAATAATAATAGTAATAATAATAATAGTAATAGTAATAATAGTAATAATAATAATAATAGTAATAATAATAATAGTAATAATAATAATATTAGTAATACTAATAATACTAATAATAATACTAATAATAATACTAATAATGATAATAATGATAATAATGATAATAATGATAGAAATGATAATAATGATACAGAGTAATAATGATAATAATGATAACAATGATAACGATAACGATAACGATAACTATAACAATAACAATAACAATAACAATAACAATAACAATAACAATAACAATAACAATAACAATAACAATAATAATAATAATAATAATAATAATAATAATAATAATAATACTCCCTCCGTTTCTGAAACAAGTTCCACCTTTCCTTTTCGGGCAGATTCAAAATTAAGTTCCACTTTCAAACATTTCTTTATTATCTACATCAAAACAGTATCAAACAATGTCAAACAGTGTTCAAACAACGCCAAACAGTGTTCAAACAGTGCCAAACAGTGTTCTCCACAGTAAAATCAAATTTATTTTCTTAATATGTGTGAAGTCAAATGTGGAATTTGTTTCGGAATCGGAGGGCTACGTAATATATAATAGCAAAAGAAGTCTTCTTCAAGAAGTTCCTGCCAAAAAAGTTTCGGTGCAAGTCCATAGCATGTACGTACCGTAGCCAGATCATTAAATGGTAGTATCAAAAGTTTAATACTTCCTCCGGTTCTTATTAAAGTTCCCAGTTCGACTTCACACATATCAAATTCATTTTTTAATAAATTTGAACTTACTGTAGAGTGCGTTGTTTGGCACTGTTTGGACACTGTTTGGCACTGTTTTGCATTGTTTTGTTTCCTAAAATGGAAGTGTGAACTTAAATAAGGGACATCCCAAAAAGGAAGGTGAGAACTTTAATAAGAACCGGAGGGAGTACTCCGTATTTTAATAACAGTTCCGTGTCAGAGTAATAATGACTCTGGAGTATGTATTATTTTAATACTCTTATGATTCCAATGAATCTTAGAAAAAACAGTCATTAGAGTTTTGGCGTCGAGGCTTGAGCCGTCGTATGTCTGGTATGAAAACAGTCATGAGAAGCCCCAAAACAATAATATCTCACTAAAATATTACTGAGTAAGAGTTTTTCTTGAAACGCACAGAAACAATTAATAAATCTAATGCTCTGTTTTTCTACCCTTTATTTTTCGCATTATAGAAGGCTATGCACGGGTAGAATATTTTGCTCAAATATTTATACTAAAATGATAGTTCATATAAGTAAATAACAATATTGTTATACAGTAATGACAAACATGATGTCAATTCATACATATATTATATCGCAAAGTGTAATTTCGACGGATACGAATAAAGAAAAAATTATACTCCCTCTGACCGTAATTTAGAAGAATAAAGCATGAATGATTTAGAATCACATAAATTTTACTAAATTTGGTATGAGATCATCTTAGTGGTATAGATCGAAAATGAAAATAGAACAAATGATATCAATCATATAAACTCATTTTTAATAAGGAAAAGTTCCTGAAATAGGATTTAAACAGTTTGAGAATTCTAAAATTAGACTGTCATGTTTTTTATTTCCAAAATAGGACTAATTACTGTCATGTTTAGAAAATACTGTCATATTTAAAGTCTGGTACTGCCAAAACATGGCAGTAATTAGTCTTATTTTGGGAATAAAAACATAGGAATTCTATTTTAGAATTTTCAAACTGTTTTAATCCTATTTCGGGTAATATATCTTTTAATAACCGTACTACCTTTTCAAGTCTCGATGTTAGTGGGACAAAGGTAGTAACAAACAAACTTAAATATTATGCATATATTCATTTGAAATCACCTGTATGGATTTGGATTAGACAGAGGAGTATATAAGTTTCGTATAAGTCAAAAGTAAATACAAATTAAATAAATACGAAGTAATTAGCTTAAAAATTATTGATAGTTCCTTTATGAAATAAACTTTAATTTTATGAAATCAATATATTTTCAAATTATTTTTATAATATACTCCCTCCGTTTCTGAAACAAGTTCCACCTTTCCTTTTCGGGCAGATTCAAAATTAAGTTTCACTTTCAAACATTTCTTTATTATCTACATCAAAACAGTGTCAAACAGTGTTCAAACAGCGCCAAACAGTGTTCAAACAGTGCCAAACAATGTTCTCCACAGTAAAATCAAATTTATTTTCTTAATATGTGTGAAGTCAAATGTGAAATTTGTTTCGGAATCGGAGGGAGTATCTAATCTTACAAATACAATCAATTCTACATAAAATAAATGTGCTTTAATTTATTCAAATGCCAAAATCTATACTCCATAGAACTTGAGTACTGTTTAAGTATTCTTTACTTCGCAAATTTTGTTCAACCAAATCAAAGACCCAAGAGATATGTTGGATGATATCAATTTGTGGTCTAGAAATTAAAACTTTCAAATCAGGACCTAAGTTAAACGATTGAAAGTTACTAATCTTTGACTTCTCGATCAAATTTGTTTTATCATTTGATTTAAATATTCAATTCTTTATTAAGAACTTAGATGTATTCAGAGAAGAAAGTATTCATTCAGAACTAAGACAAAAAAATGAATAAAATGTATTGAAATCAAAAATAAATTAGTGAAATCTTCATTTGTTGGAAGCTAAGTTTCAATCATTTGAGTCTTGATATATACTTTTTTTAAAAATATTTAAGTTTTGAATTGATTAATCGTAAACCATTTTTGTAATATGAATGGCAATCACTGCTTGAACTCCACTATCCGAAATAATAAAACACCTTGTGCCTTGGAAGTAATAAATCTTTATAGTTAATTTTTGTTGTGTATTTATAATTTCTCAAATTATGCAAGTAATGATGTGGGGGTGGATGTTTAGTTTCTCACCGAGGAGATGTTTTGGCGGCAACACCCTCCTTAAGATTTATTATATTTTATTATTATTATTATTATTATTATTATTATTATTATTATTATTATTATTATTGTACTATTGATTATTAATTAATTAGAATAAAATAATAGTTATAATAATAATTAAAATAGTTATTAATAGATATTATATTATATTACTCCTGTCTCATTCTACATTTTTTATTTTCATGTTTGGAACGTCCAATTTAAAGGTTCATATTTCTATTTTAGGAAATAATTTATACTCTTAAATGACAATTTGATCATTAAGTATTCAAAATAATACATTTATAGCATCATAGTTAATTACAATCTATATCCCCCATTATATTATATAACTATCAAATTTATTTTTCAAAGTATACTCGAATTACCATATTTAATTATTCAAAGTAAAGCCTTTATTTTGTTCACTTTTTTCAAAATTATATTATTTTTTCCATATAATCTGGGATTGTAATGTTCTTTTTATTTTTCTATCTCACTTTATGTTCTACCTGAGAAAATCTGGAGTTTATTACGATTGCAGATAATTTTATTCAGAGTTTCAAACTGTATGATTCTCTCCACAAACCCATTAATGAACAATATTTTTCAAAATACATTCATATATATATGTGTGTGTGAACATGAATTACTTATATATACGCTTGTGTACAATCTCATACTCGTATTTAATTTTCAAGATTCTTGAGGTCTAAACTGTGTCATATTTTTTGAAGGTGGACATATATAATATAT